CGCTAACACGAGTATTAAATATCTATAATTATCTATGTGGTTTATTTTATTATGAGTTTTTTCTGTATATTTATCAAGGGGTCCCCATAATTTCAGAGTCCACTGTAAATAAACTTGAAAACTCTGCATCTCTACACACCAGGGTGGCTGACAACATGTACAATCTAGCCTGTAAAGTACAATATATAGAAACTAACTTCGAGCTGCCCATGAACTTCAATTGGTACATTATAAAGTCAAGGCCAAGCCGTTTATAGCATGGTAAAACACCGATGTTTAAAATGAGAAATGTATATGTGATGAAAGATTGCATGCAGGAATGGTTTTGGATTGTTTAAGAAATGTTATTAATGCGTATCATACTTTTTTCCCAGATGTCCATGACCGAAATTTACAATGAAAACCTTATTGATCTTTTATCAAATCCCCCAACAAATCATTTGGAAATAAGGACCCTTGGCAAATCCATCATAGTTCCTGACTTGACTCAGATTGATGTGAAAACAGAAGAAGATATTCTGAATGTCATGGAGCTTGGTGAAAAAAACAGAACCATGGCTTCAACCAATTTGAACTTTGAGAGGTATTGAGATAATAGTTTGCCTTGCACTTTTCCCCAAGTCGTAAGTGAAATGAAAATATGTATAGGGTATCCCTAGCAACAAGCAGGCTTCATCAGTTATTTATGACTGCTGTGTATTTCCACTGTGGACATAAAGGGAACAATAACAAAACATCTGATCCTGTCAATCATGATTGTTTAAGTTGTATTGACTTACCCAAAGTAAAAATGACAGAGGCCGATTTCCTAAAGGTTTTGTCTGCTGATTTCATTGGTTAACTTACATTTTTATAGTAGGATTTACTAAGCATATTTAAGATACATTCTTAATTCATTCAAACAAATATGACCAAGACCTACTGTACTATACATTCACCATTCTGTTGATAAATTCTTAAAATGATAGAAAACAGAGTGCACTGTGTAACTTTTTCTTGATATGTAGTATTCTGAAATTGAACTAGTGGTGTTCTGTTTATTATTCTACTGCTCAGCTCACGATCTCACCTCATTCTGACACTAAGACTGGCTGGGAATGACAGCGTGTCTGGTGTCACGTCCCATGGCACTCTCACTCTGTGTGACCTGGCTGGATCAGAGCGCATCTCCAGGACTGAAGCAATAGGACAGCGGCTTGTAGAAGCAGCTTTCATAAACAAATCCCTAACTTCTCTGGCACAGGTAACCCCACAGGAATATATGATGTTATGATGCTTGTCCCTACATTTTAATTCTCTTTCTGCATTTCAGTGCTATAAAAAATGATACTAAACTGTGGGTAATGCAAAGAAAATATATACACTGTGTACTGTTTTCCCCATTTAAGTATTCCAAATTAAAAAACACCCAATATGAGAGCACATCTTTAAATTTAATTTTGACCTAACTGTGAAGAAGCAGGCACCATTTGTTATTAGAAAACAAAAAAAAAAGTTCTTGCTTTTAAATTTGTGGAGTTATATGCCTCTTCTTAGCAACAGTGAAATTCTTTAACATGCTTAATCTGGATTTTTAGTAAATATACAATTAACCAAACTCTTTAACATACCAATTTGTTGTTTGACATTTAGATTTGTGCAGTGTTGCAAAAACTGTATATCTTTTGTTTTAGGTGAGGGAAGTGTTCAAGACAAATACAATTATGGTACAATTGTAAAATTATTCATAGTACAATAAGAATTTACAGCTGCAACATTACGGTAATATGTAACTTCGATTATAATGTACTGTGATGTACTGTGAACTCTTAGGAAAGTCCATATATTTTTCTTCTTTAGGTTTTCAGTGCTTTAAAATGCAATGCACTTAATGTACCATTTAGAAACTCAAAACTTACACATGTGCTTCAGCCATCCCTCAGTGGAGATGCTAAGGTAATATGCTTTATCTTCTAATTTAATAGCTTTTTCTGAATGTGACTTATGATTTTCATTTTTTTCCTTTTATGATATGCCACAGACAAAAAATAATTTATTGGAATAGCTTTTCATTTAGCAATTAGAAAATTGAAAGAACCAATAATTGTCAATGGCCAAGAGAAAAGGCAAAAAATATCCAGCAGTATCCTGCAGTATCACTGATAAATATTTGAAGTAAAGAGTGATTTTATAGACAAAATATAATAAATTATGAAGAATAAATATAAAAAAGTAAATTTAATTGTTTAGTGACATTAACACTTTCACAGTCTGTGAAGATGATTTTCAGACTTATTGGCACTGAAATATTTAAAAATGACTTAAGAGCATTTGTGTAACTTTTTTAAAGAGAAAACTGACCTAGATTAATCGATATCAATACCTGTCTTTTTATATACAGTGTCTGAAAATGTGCAGAAAAGTGCAGCACACTATTTTTATTCACTTAAAGATTAACAAGAGAAATGAACAAATACTTTCCATTTTATTTTTCATATGATGAGGCCTGTGTGCTCATGAACATCAGTCCTGACATGAAGAATGTGTTGGAGACTCTAAGAACACTTCAGTTTGGCACCTCGATTCAACAGGTTGGCCTTCGCAAAGCCACATGGCAGGTTACTCAATGTGATCCATTGCACCTAACTAATCTACACAGGACAAAGTAATTCTTGTACAATACAAATAAAACTGTGTATTGGATTTTTGTTAGAGTCTGCCTACAATAGTAAAAAAAAAAAAGCATTAATTTCATGTTTTTTTTTTGGTGTTTTCACCTGAACTATATTTAAAGAACTGAATAAAAAATTAAAATATCTGACCGAGCATTTGCTTAAGTGTTTTTAGATTTTGTACTGCATTTGCTAAGATTTAACCCTCCTTACTATGCTGTTTATATCTTGTTTGATGTAGAACTCAAATCAAGGGATGTTATTTTTAAATTGTATAATGCACTAGTTATTGAAGCCAATACCCTGTACTAAATTTATATCATGTATCGAAAACATTTTTTCAAGGTGCAAAAACCAATTACATTCTGCACTCGTATTAGAGGAGAGTGACTAATGCTACAATTGAATATTGTTTTCTCTGACAGCAGAGAATAATGTCTAAATAATATAAATATACTACCGTGTAAATAATTCAAAGCCTCCTTTTCATCATCTATAATATTATGGCCACCATTATCAAGGACTATAGTCATAATGACTCTGATACTAATCAAATCAATTAATGAGTAAATCAAATGAATTATTTAAGGCAAATTCCTTTTCCTTTTAACAGTTACGTGAACAGGTTTTCATATTGTAGGTAATGAACATTATTATTCCCTCATTTTTTCTTGTTAAAGTCCGTCGTATATTGTATTTCTATCTTTTGCCTTTGAGCAGCTGGTTCAACACACTTTTCTGTTTTAGAGCTTGTAAGTTTGAAATGTCTTCCGCAATTACAGGGATATCTTTCCTTTGTTCACATGATTCCGATTCACTTTCGCTGTCAGACAGGGCGCAAAGGAGGGCATCATTTTCATATGTTGGAAAATAATACCTGAAAATGAAAGAAAAAAATCCTCATTTGATTTTGCAGAGAGCTACTGTAATTTTTATTACATATGGCTAAGTTGACTTTGGTTGATCTGACTTTTTAAATCATTTGATCATCCTGTTACAAAATTATGAATGACCAAGTTTGTACTCTTAATAATAATAATAATAATAATTCCTTACACTTATATAGCGCTTTTTCTGGACACTCCACTCAAAGCGCTTTACAGGTAATGGGGATAATACCTCAGTTACATTCAAATAAGTAAGAAATAATAAAACTGCAGTGCTTACTGGGGCTGATCCCACTTATGTTTTTCAGGTAATGCCATAACATGCTTTGCGTCCATTAGATGTTCCAGAACTTGAGTTTTGGAGCTGAATTTATCCTGGCAGCCATAGCACTGACACTGGTGGATCTCACGTCTGATGAAGTTCACTAATTTCACCTGCTCATAAAAATTCAGACCTGAAAAGTAAAGAGAAGAAGTTAGTAAAAAACATGAACCCCACAGCTTTATCTTTACAACATGTTGTGCAACACATTCGTCCACTAATAATATTAATTTCTTAACTTCCAATAAGAACATTAACAACGGTGAATCATCCTGTGTTTCTCATGTGTACCTTGTGGTGAATCTTAGACATCTGTAAAGACTTTAAGTAGACAGTTCTGGTGTCAGTATTTACAGTTCATCACTGGTGAAAACACTTTTTTAAATTATTTTAATTAAAAACTTGATTAAATGTATTGTTTATGCACAATTAATTACATACAATGAAACACTACTGTATCTTTTGTAACAACATTTTTAAACAATTTATGTTTTCATATTGAAACATTATTTCAATTAGTCCAACATCAAGTTATTAGTTCTTATATATAAATATTCCAGGGATATACTTATATTAAATTGTGTATAGGTCACTTATATAAGAGGTCTTACTAACCAAGTTCTGCCTTTATTTTATGAAGATCAAATCCATGTGTTTCCTAAGACCAAATAAAAAACCATACTATAATGCAAATCTGTTAAAATATGATCCAATAAAGAACAACAATTATTAATAAGGAAATATTTACATAAAAGCAGGTGATGTTTGTTTAAAATATTATGTATAAGAGTACTGCATTAAACTGAATGAATATGGTAGACTAAATAGTATGAAATAATCATTCTTTTTAAATTCTCAGAAAATAAGCCAATGATTCAAAAGCAAAATACAAATTAACTAGTGCAAGATCTTTATATGTCAATAAGACATTAACCAGAACTCTATCCACCAATATATAAATGTACTGTACTTGCATGTTACAACTTAATAACCTAACTGAAATGTTGAAATGTCTTTGATTATACCAACCTCCATGTGACTGTAAATCCTGTCCATTGTTTCTGATTGGTGCTCACAGAAGAGACAAACAGCACAAACAGGGTGATCCTGCCAATCAGACCAATCACTGAAAAGAAAAACAACAGTATTACATCAGACAGCACCTTATAAAATCAGAATCAGAATTAAAATTTAAATGGTCCATACTCATCATGATCTTCCATCATCTCACGGTCATCCTCTGACTGAACTTCTTCCCATGTCTTTCCCAGTTCCTATTAAAATATTAAAATGATTAAGAATATAAAAATGCACAAAAAATGTTGTATAAAGCAATAGAAAAACACATTAAAAACACAAAGGTTTAGCTTTTTTCTTGAAACAGTTTGGATTTCTAGGTTTATAAAAACTGCTGTTGTGTTTTTAATATGAAAGGATGACATTTTAACTGTTTTGGACAAATGACAGAATTCAGACAGAAACTGTCACCAAAAAGTACTATGACAAACAGAATGGAATTCTACTGTCAGCAGTAATCCACAGTCACACTGTTTTTGGGAAATACAACCTTGTCATTTTTAGTCTCCTACAAGGTACCATTAAAACAGGAGTCTGAATAGTCTATGAGTAAAATCTAATGTCTTGCTGAACACGATTTCAGACAAGAAATTGTCTGTTGCCAAACTGTGCCAGAAAAATGCGTTTTTGAGTTTCCAAAGAGATTTTAGAAATGATGTAGGCTAACATTCTGGACCGTAACTCTGTAGAGTAACCTACATGTAAACGAAATGGCAATGCGAAACTGTTCAACTGTTTCTTTTCTTGTACACAAAAAAGAAAGAAAATGATGCCATCAGTACAGTACAGATCAGTTAGCTGCAGGATACTGCTAGCTGCTAAGCTAAACTAATACTGAATAATCAGCACATCTTCATAATATACAGAGTTAAGTTGAATATGTTTTAGTTTATCTATGAGAATTATAAGTAGTGAAGATCATTTGTAATACTGGAGTCTGCTCTCACACATTTTACATTGCTTTTCCTTTTTCATAAAATCTATTTTTTTCACTTTCCAGTCTACTCTTATAAATGTAATGTTGGTATAATAATACTGTCTGGCCAGTTCCAGAAAGTTTCACTCTGAAAAGCTGCCACAGTTTTCTTGTCTCTACTCAGCTGGAGCTGCTTATCAGAAAGGCCCAAGACAGATCCTCCATCTTATACCCCTCTATCTGTCA